CCAAAACCGGCGGGGATCGTTTCTTCATGTTAAGTGACCCCAATGGAATTCACAAACGGGGCCCATTGGTCCCGAACGTCCATAGGACCCTCCTCACCACAGGATTTCTCATTGAATTTGGGAAATTTTGGTTTTTGGGTCCTATCTCCGTCAATTTCCGTCAAAAATGAATTTGACCANTATGAATTCGATTGGGGTCACTTAACATAAAGAAACGATTCCCGCCGGTTTTGGGGGTGAAAAATTTTTTCGTCAAAAAAAATTGAAGGTTAACCCCTTTCCATTTTTTTTGACGAAAAAATTTTTCACCCCCAAAACCGGCGGGGATCGTTTCTTTATGTTAAGTGACCCCAATCGAATTCACAACCGGGCCCATTGGTCCCCAACGTCCATAGGACCCTCCTCACCACAGGATTTCTGATTGAATTTGGNCTGGAGATTGAAGCTGAGCTCATACCCTGCAACTTTTGTCTTGGTCAAATTCATTTTTGACGGAAATTGACGGAGATAGGACCCAAAAAATGACGGAAATGATGTGGAGACATCCGAAAATGTATTGATAACTCTGTCGACTCCAATTCATCAACATATTTTATAATAATCAATTATTTCTTCCAAAAAACCCTGGCAACTTCTGCACACCCCTAATAGCAGATCAATAGCTAAAGTTGATACTCTTAGTGATAGCCGAAAGTACTTCAACAAAAATTGCTCAACAATACTTGAAACGAAAATATTCACAGCAGTGATTCTGTTAAATCCAGTTGAATTAACGACACAGTTTTGATTGGAATATACACAGCGATGAAATTAATCCATTCAAGTCCAGTAAATTATTCCCCCTTCGATCGCGATAGGTTCCGGGTAACCCTCTAAGATTCATTAATGGCCCCAGGTACGAAGGTAAACGAGGTTAATATGGACTATGGGTGATATAATGTCGAAATGTGGTAAATTCGTCGGTTTCTCATATGCAAAATCCCCTTCCCTCCCGACCCTTTCTTCAGCCAGTGTCCTAACGAAGTCGTTTGTTAATCCGAGGATTTGATTTCCCCCGAGCAAACTGCGAGGAAAATCGCGCACAAATTAAATTTCGATAAGTCAACGAATTCCGAATCAAGTCCAGACTATTTGTGTAGTTAAATCAAATTATTTCAAATTTTTCTGTTTCGGAAAATAATTTGCAGAGACGATTTGTATTTAATGTTCAATATACTAATGAGAATGATGAAATATTTATTCGCATTTCTGAAGAATTTAAAACATGAGTAAATCAGAAAAAAAATTAAAGCCCCGAATTCATGAAATAAAATTCATAAATAAAATTTGCAGAGACGACTTGTATTTGCAGAGTCAACGGTATTTTGTCCTCCAGCAGATGAAATATCATTCGAATCAATTCGAATATTGACTCGAACTCCTCAAGAATTTAAAACATGAGCAATTCTGAAAAAAATTAAAACCCGAACTCATGAAATAAAATCCATAAATAAAAGTTGATTTGAATCGAGTCAAAGTGCGATGCAGAATGTAAATTCCAGCGGCTCCATTGAGACACATTCGTCCCCAACTCCCACATCCCCACGGAATCGTATAAACTATGAAGCACCGCACCGAAAGCACTCGAAATGTGCTCGCGATGTCGCACCGAATAACCATTTACAGCGTCGTCTGTGTTGCAAATGCTCGTAAATCCGAAATACGCGCTTGTAGAAATATCTCGCTTATTCTTCTATCATTTCGCAGTTCGACTACAAGTCAATAGTGCCTCTTCTACTCGCACTGGGGTCGTTACGCTCTAGGGGGCTCGACGAGGTGCTCCGTTTTTATTTTTTTTTCTCATTCGAGATTTTTTTCTGAAGCTGAATTGCGGTTTTTATGGGCTTACGTGCGACCGTAATTACCTGTTTCGAAGGGAGGGAATTGAATTCTGCAGGGGAGGAGCGGAGTCATGAGGTGACTTGATCATCCGAGAGGTTTGCACTCTGCGAAATATTTTTCATTTATTTTTCCCTCCAACCGCGAATTTCCGAAATACTCGAATTACTTTAATTGTGAAATCTATTCGATTTTGAAGACTGAGACTTGTTGCCACTCAGTCATGACAGTGGGGCTCACAAATAACTGAGAATGCAAGCGATTAATTCCACTCGAACTATTTTACTTCTGTCCTAGGTAATTCGTGAATTCCCAACGCTCGGAAATTCTGGGGGAGGAAATTCTGGGGCTAGTGGTTTTTTCGGGTCGTACCAGGATTGTGATGACGATTAAGGTGACGTTGACGGTCCCAGGCTCGAAAAAAGCAGCGCCGTCTGTGATGTTGACCCCGGGCCCCGGTCTCCACTCGCCAACCTGCAATTTTCATCAGTATGTAAATTGAATTTTTAATTCTTGGATAAAAATTCATGAAACAAATTTATTATGTAGTACTGTTTCAGCCTCGGTGGAACTGCAGGGGGAGGAGGCAGTTCACTTGGAGACGTGGGAGGATTAACACGTGGGGATGGGAAATCTTGCATTCGATGCAGGGGGAGAAAATAGCATTCTGGGCAGTTGGGTGGTTGAAACAAATTTGTTGAAATTATTTTATTTTATTGATTACTTTTGCAATTTGTTGGAATTTAACATAGGAATTTTTGAGAATTCCTGGAATTTAAAAAAATAACGAAGTGAATGTGAAAATATTTTAGATGAGTTGAAAAACTTATCTACAACACTCAAGAATTTTATCCAAAAGCGAAGAATTTTCTCAAATTGCTTATAGAACCGAAAAATTCTCTTAAATTATCTGTAAAACCAGAAAATTTTCTCGAATGTTTTGTGAAATCGGAGACATTTCCAGAATTTTCCAGAAGTTTCTACGTTGCATTCCTCTAGGGACCCTAAACTATTCAAAAGTGAAAATAAAATTGAACTCCATTCAGTAGTATTTCCGTGAAACGCGGCTAAAGAATCGGCAACAGATTTATTTAACAGATTTATGTATTATTGTATTGATTATTCTTCCTCGCCTGAGTTATTTTCAGACAAAAAAATTATTGTCTTCCTTCAAAAAATTATAAATTTATCTCAAAAACCACTTTTGGGATTTTAAACACCTTTTTTTCTGAAATGATATTTACTCACTTTAACCAGTGAATGTTGCTTCAACTTGAGCAAGTCCAGCTTGAACTGAATCCTCCTCCCCTCCTTGAACTCAATGGGTCCGGATAACCCCTTCATCTCCACCTGCAACACCGCCGAAAAATTCTTGAAACCCGGATCCAGAGAATAAAGAAAACATCGCGATCAAAAAGTCGTTATCGCGAGCAGCTCTCAACACTCAGGATCGATTAACGAAAAGTGCAACTGGGTGAGACTCAACAGGGATGATCCCTCTTATATACTTTTTGACTGGGGGCGGGCGGAAGAATTGCAGAGAAGAGATTTCCAAAGGGATTCCCCCGACATTCGGATGCACCGGAGGTGTTCGCCCTGTTTTTTCTCAGGGACTGGGGAATTTTAAATCCGCATATCGAACCTCGGTGGAAAAATGAAGAGAATGGTTTCTCGAGAGTGGAAATTATGAAAGATGTTCACGGGAAAATCACACAATATGCGCGACATTTCGCTTCGCAACTCTTCCGGAGGTGTTAGCAATTTTCATTTCCATGTGCATTCATTTATATTAAAACTTGTGTCTTTCAGACATTTTTTCAGAGCTTTTTCAGTTATTAAAAAGTGTCAAACCGAATTCATTGATAAGTTCGGAGAATTAATTCGCAATTAACCAGTGAATTAATGAATCAATTGATTAGTCCTGAAATGAAGTGAAGTCAATTCGTTAAAAAAAATCATGCGCACGTCCGGAAGTTTGGAAGCGCGTGATAAAGTGGAGTGAACTCGAAATATAAAATCCCGGAATGATAGTCATGCAGCGACGTCGTTGGTATAATTTGTTACGAGTGTCTTCCCCGCGTTAAATCCCGTCTCTCCCGGGTTACAAGCCTGTCATCCCACTCCATTATACTCGGGTATCTCTTCGGGACGCGCCAGGAATATGAGCCCCTCTTGACTCCCTCGGCAGGCTTAGGGGGGACACTGCGTTGTCCTGTTTCTCGGATTTAACCGGAAACTTCTTCTCCGTGACGGCTTTTTTTTCATATTTTATTTTCCTATTTTTCGCTTCTTTTCACACCCCGCGGCACGAGCCGGGGAATTTAATGTCAACCACATGCCACGCTACCTTATCCTTATTTATTTTATCTCGGGCCATATTCAGTGGTTTCGGGTTGAAGAATGAATTTAGGGGTTTGGGGTTGTTTTCTGTTTTCATTTCAGATTTGTGGGGGAAATTTGTTTTTAGTTTGAAAAATTAGTTCAGTAATTTAAAGAAAAATAACATCATATTTACATTGGGAGAATGAAAATTATTAAATTATTTACTGAAAATAAATATTTACTTATTGAATTTATTGAAAATTATTATTTATTTAATGGCGGTCCATAATCAGAATATTTGGCTTACATTAAATTAAATACACTAAATTTATAACTAATTTGTTATTGACAAACCACTCAATTTTTTGAATGTTTTGTTTGTAAAAATTGTGAATATTTAAGCTTTTAATGCAACATTAATAATTATTTCGAATGGAAAGCTCAATTTTATTCAATTCTTCAAGATCAATGAGAGCTTTTATGAACGATTTAACATCGAATTGAATTTAATTTCAAAATATTAAAAATTGAAATGCAATTATTATTAAAATTAAAAAAAATTAATGCAGAGCGTCAGAACCTCATCAAGACAAGTGCCTCAACTCCTCAACAATACAATTCTTCAGGGCTGAAATAGAAAGAACGGCGGAGCGCTTGCGTTTGGTGGATGATACGAGAAAGCCAAATTGAAACTTGGATTACAAGTGAGGTGATAAATTAGGGAGAAACTGGTTACTGTTCCACTTGAGGACAAAACTTGGTAGCTTTCGAAACTGGTTAGTGTGAGAGCCAAGAGGACGATGTTGTCGTAGTAAAATCCACTCGCCCCCTGTGCCGCCCACCCCCTAGCCATCGCAGCACTTAAACCCTCAGCCTTTATACCATATCAGACATTCACGTGCAGTGGCGTTAAGTTAGCTTGAGGAGGTAAAGGGCCGGGGATCTGAAGTGGCTACAAACCTCATTCGTCGGGTGGAGTGAGCACGGTCAACCGCCCTTTGGCCCTGAACGACCTCACGGTTTTTCCACGGCTCAATTCAGTAGCGAAGCGGTAAACCGGGTCAAGTCGATTTTGACTATTGGCCAGTTTTTCACGAATATCTCGGAATCTAAAAGAGATAAAAAAATTTTTGTCATGACCTTTTTATAGCCCTTAATTGGTTCTACAAAAAAGGTCATGAGAAAAATTTTGCTATCTCTCTTAGGTTCTGAGATATTCATCAAAAACTGATCAAAAGTCAAAATCGACTTGACTCGGTTTACCGCTTCACTACTGAATTGTTCCTGTGGCTTGATTTCCCAACACTGGGTAAATCTTATCAACTTGACTCGTTAAACAACAGAGACTGGTGGAGATGAACTCCAGTGTTTTGTTGACATTTAATTTTTCAGCGCTGGGCTTTCGTTGGTTGTGGAATTTCGGATTAAATGCCCACGTACGAAAAAACGAATGGGCCGAGCTTGGCCCAAGCCCGGTGGCCGGCCTGCCGAACTTCGGGACCCGTTCCTCAACCGGGACCGCGCCGGATTTGGTTGAAACCTGGAATGATAACATCGGGCCAGGTCTGGGCGCCCATCTCGGCCCAGCGTTGATTGCCAGTCGTTGGCCAGNGACGGTTTCTCCGCCTGACTCTTGCGACCCTTAATCTGAACCTCGTAATCCTTAATCTGACCCTTATTCGGATCCTTGTGAGCCCTATTTTTTTGTTTTAATTTCGAGTACCAAATTTTCATCACCAGAAGTCGAGTTAAATTTTTATAATAAAGAAGGATAATATAGGGAGACCCTCGTGACCCTTGGAAGCCTTACTCTGGCTTATTTTCGACTACTGGATTTTTATAATATAGAGAGATATTCCACTGCATTTTAAATAGATTCGACATTCAATAGCTGTTGCATCTACACGAGTATTCAAATAAATTGACTGAAATGTTAGAAGTATTCATGTGATTTCAACAAATACTCGATCTCTCGTTGTCTGTTTTTTTCCATCTCTCGAAATTTTTCGACATCGACAGACATTTTTGACTAGCGTTTGGAAAGTTGAAGAACTATTTCCTGAATTTTGTCAGAAATTTCCCCCAGTCCATTCTCCGTTTTGTAATTTAACTTGACTCGCAGACTTTTTTCCATAAAAACCCCGCAAAAAAGTTGAACAAACTGAAGGGATTTTTCATGTAATGGAAAAATATTCCCTTCCTCCTCCGCATTTAAGTTATTTTCAACAATTGAAAGCCCACATATGCAGAAGTTGCCAACAAAATTCAATACCCCATCTCTCGATAGTCCGTATTCACGCTGTTATAAGCGCAATCCAGCATCAGAGAGTTTGCACGGCGCATATAGGTATCGTCACCATGGAGCCACTGATCATTGTCCTGTCCCTTCGAGCTGGGGCACCAACCATTGCATTTTCCATGGCAATTACTTCTCGTTTGGTTCAATTAAGCCAGAAGGCAGGGGACACAACATTTCGCCTGTTAGAGAGGCCAGTAAATTCGATACGGGCGCAGGGGGAATGGATTTCGAGATGATATCAGCTGCGCCGACTTTTCACCCATTGTTATCATATTTTCAATAGCTTTTTGGCTCAAATTAACTGCCGATACGACACTTTTTATCGAATAAAATAGTTCAGAATTTTTCCATTCGCGTCAACAATTTTTTTAAATTATAAAATTCATGTTCATTGCGGTGAAAATGTGGAATGAATTTTGTTGAATGGAATTTATTCCTGTTAACGAAATAAATTATTCATTGGAATTAAATAATGTCTTAGTCTCTTAATTTCACAGAAAAGTTTTTAAGTTTAACTTTAAATTTAGAAAATCTTCGTGCGAATCAAATGAAGTTTGTTCAGTTAAAATAAATCATTTCTCTGGATGCAGGCAGGAAAATTATACTCGCTGAAGCGGCCGAATCCTCTCGAATCTCGATAATCCCCTCCTCGCAACTCAGTTGCCTGTCTATACACCAATTCCGAATGTAGTGTATCAACGCCAACACTTGTGTCACGACGCACTGCAGTTGAACATCCATTGGCACTTCTCGCCCTTTCTCCTATCAGTTGCCTCGATTTTCCGTCTCAGTTTGCACCTCGTACTTCCACCTAAGTACATGCAGAACGATGTGCCCGAGTAATACGCATACACCAGTGGAGACATTCACCAGGTAACTCGACACGTTCTACATGATTTCCACATTCGATCAGCGCGTTACAACTGCGATAGAATACGTAATAGTTGCTTGACGGAAGTTGGAAACTGGTTATTGTAATTATTTCCGGGGGGTGATGACTCGCTCTTCGACATTAAATGGGGTTGTTATTTTTAATGAGGCGAAGTTTTGAGCGGAAGGGGAATATTTCCAGAGGCGGATTTTTTGCGGATTTTTTTTTTTAATGACTGCAATTTTAAAATTTTTTACGTTTCTCTAATTTTTTATAGTAATTATTCTTAATGACGTGAAGATTTGAGGGAAATCATTTTGAGGGGAAGCGGAAAATTCAAAATGAAAATGTCAGGTAATGTTTTTTTTCAAGTCATTTTTGAATTTTTTTGAAAATACTTCAAACTGATTTTTTTCCAACAATTTTTTTCACTAATTGTTTTTACGAAGTGGAAAATACAGAGGCCAATTTCAAGAGACACAGTTTTTCCACCATTTTCCATTTTTAAAATCACTTCAAACTTCAATTTTTTTCTCCGATTTTTTCCATTCTGTGACATTGGAGTATCGAAAAAAATATCACCAGCGATGGCCTTTCATTGGTCCAAGCGGGTCAGCCGGCTTAATTTTTCCAAATTGTCGAATGCCCGAAAACCCGGGATGCCGTGTAATATTACACGCGTTCCTTTTTTCCGGTGAAAAAAGGGGGAATGGCACTCGACTAAATGCTACAGTTGTTTGAAATGCACGAGTGGAGGGCAAAGTCACAGCAAGAATAGACAAAATACATATGCATGGACGTGTGCATCTGGGGTGTACCTTAAAATTACCATAATTAGAATTTTCACGGCAACTGCGATATTCAGGAACAAGATTAATCCGGGAAATATCTGATTAAACGAAACTGGCAGATGTATTCATTCCAAAAGTCGAAAATTAATTAGGAATTAATTGAATTTCCTGGGTTCCTAATTTTTTTTTGTGAAAATAAACGTTTGATTTTTTATTTTCACGCGGAGAGAAATGTTCAGTAAAAATTATGGAACTCACAGTTCACTCACCAATTACGGAATTTTTCACAGAGATTCAGATAAAAATTATGGAACGCTCTGGAAAAATTCCGTGACAGTTCCCTGAAATTTCCTACAACCACATTTCGCTCCGAAATGACGGAAAAGATACGTAATTTTTATTGAATATTTCTCTCCGTGCATAATTTTTTTATTTTCATGAAAAATCTTATTGCATTTCCATGCAGCATCCTCTCGAGATTTTTTTATTTCCAAAATGAATCGAGATTCCTCATGGAAATTAATTACAACAGCTTGGTTTTTCGGTGGGCGATATATCATCTCGTAAGGTCGAGGATAACTGTATTGGGGGCTGGAAAAGGGTCACTCTACGGCAAGAGGATTGTACGACGTCACGAGACGGAATTTGTGGTCCCTGTCCATGACAGTTCTCGCACCATTCATTATGCGGTATTAAACAATTTATCTGGTACGAGGCTCAAGTGTTACCGTACTGCCGAGTTCCCAGTGAGCACCAGTGCTACGAAAATAATTGGAAATTTCTTAACCCAGTGAGTAAAAAGGAGAATAAACAACATATTTCAACTGGAAGAAATCCTTTCCTTCAAATAAAACGTCATGAAGTGATTTATTTCATTAGGAATTGATTTTTCAGTGGGAATTATAATTGAAAATACGGAATTATCCATACAATATTTTTTTTTCCGGAAAAAATAATTTTTCTTTCAATTAAAAAAAATTTTATTCTTAAAAAAAAATTATATTTATTTCATTCATAATTTTATTGACTTTAAAAATTCACAAAAAATTGTTTTTTTCGATTTATGAACATTATTCATTTGAAAAATTTATCAGAGGCTTAAAATTACTGAATTTTAACGCAATTTGATGGAAATCGTTGAATAAAAAAATTTTTATTCCTAAAAAAATTCTTATTTATTCAGTGAAGTATTCAATCAGCATTTCCATTTTGTATTCAAATCAGACGCGATGAAATCTCACCTAAAAAATCACAATTCACGGGAAAAAATCGTTTTTCCCCTCCGCCCCGAATTTTCCCAATAAATTCTTCGCCGCACGAAATGCCCGTGATACCGTACATTTTGGATTCCCGCCAAATCTCTCAACTGTAATTCACCCTTACAACTAAAATCCAGGGGTATCCGTTCGTCCCCGGCGTTCCATTCAGACCCGCAGGCTCTTATACCACTGGCCCACATAAAAATCGACAATTCTCTCTCTCTGTCGTATCCCATCTATCGAATTCCCCGCTGAAGAATTCAATTGAAAACTCACCGAGTTGATGTAGTTGATGAGAGAGAGGCCGCCGTCCCAGGGATGCTCTGCCTCGCAGGAGAGATTCGCCGGTCTCAGCGTGTGAGACTGCTCCAGGGTGCGCAGACCAACGGCAAATACTTGTACGCTGTCGTATATCAGAGCGGGCTCAGCCTGGAAAAAGTCGCAAAAAGAAGTGGATGAATTTTCAGCCAAACCACGTCATTAAAACTTCAAACATCAACATGAGAAATTCGAGAGAAATGAACAACGTCGTTAAAATTTCATGGACTGGTTCACGTGAAATTGAAAATCGATTCACTTCCAATTATTTTCTTGATATCGATATCTGTCGGGTGTGTGATCATTTGGAGGGGCGTTGCCAATTATTGGGGGTGTGAAAAAGTTGTCTGAAGTTCGGGAAAATGATTGATTATTATAGATTGGTGAATTATCAATTTTATTAAAGACTCGTCACACTTATTTTGACCCTTAATTGCGGAGTCTTAATTTCGGGTGCAAATTTTTAATCATCAGAAGTCGATTTCAATTTTTACAATATAGAGAGCTACATTTTTTAATGTCTCCGGTCTTACCTGAGGTATCACGATCGACGGGGAATAATTTACTGGACTTGAGCGGATTAATTCCACTGCTGTGTGTATTCCAATTAAAACTGTGTCGTTAATTCAACGGAATTTAACAGAATCACTGCTGTGAATATTTTCGTTTCAAGTATTGTTGAGCAATTTTTGTTGAAGTACTTTCGGCTATCACTAAGAGTATCAACTTTAGCTATTGATCTGCTATTAGGGGTGTGCAGAAGTTGCCAGGGTTTTTTGGAAGAAATAATTGATTATTATAAAATATGTTGATGAATTGGAGTCGACAGAGTTATCAATACATTTTCGGATGTCTCCAGTCTTTCGAAATTGTGAATCAATGAGGGTATGTTGAAGCGATCTGACCGAATGGTAATCAGAAGGCGCGATATCTGGGGAATACGCCGGGTGAGGTAGAACCCTCCTCTCAAGCTCCATAATTGTTCTTTGCGTCGCTTCAGCAATATAAGATCGAGCGTTGTCATGTAGCTGAATAATTGATCTACGTCCGTTGTCAGTAAATGCTCGTTTTTTCATCCATTTCTTCATTCAAATGAGTAAATTGGCTACTGTAGCATTCGACATTGACTGTTTCTCCTGGCGGCGGGAGTTCATAATCCAGCGCACCCTTCTGCTCCCACCAAATGCACAACAAAACGTTCGCGAAGTGGATGATTCGTTTCGACGCAGATTCCATCGGTTGTCCGGGGTCCACCCGATGCTTCTTACCCTTCAGATTAATTCATTTATCCATAAATCCGAAGAGAATAAATTTTTTAGTTATTATCCTTCTGACAAAACCCACAAATAATGAAAACCGACAGGCTCAGCACTGGACAGTCTCCAACGACCCCGAGAAAATAAACTTTTGACAAAGGCATATCCTTTCTATTTCCCGTAAACTTCCGTCCGCTTGTAACCGTCAGGGAGCCTTCTCCCCCCCCTCAAAAATCCACGATCTCAGCTGCATTAATACCTCCGCCCCCTCACAATCTCATTCCGTCTGTCTTACTTTACCCCATTGGAGCAAAACACAGACCTAAACTGCTTCACCGTAGTTTTTCATTCCGTCCTTTCCTTACCACCCTCGGTACTCCATTAAAACAATTCTTCATCTCACAAGTCTCATAACTCACCTCTTTGTCTTTTCCAACCCAGAAACATTCCCCCTCCCCCCCCTGTTCCCTCATCCAAAGAATTCAGGAATAAGAGTTATATTCAACATGAACTTTTCGCATTTGGAGACGGTTAACTGAGGTAACGATCCCGGAATCGTCGATGCCGGAGCCCCGGGATTCTCCAGAAATCAGCGAAGACGCGAAAACAAATTGAGGGATGGAGGTACACCTGCAATTACATCGGATGTGGCGTTGTGTTTGCAGTGCTGGGAGAAAGGGATAACACGAAACTTGGGGGCAACACTGGAATGTGAATTCGTATGCAGCTGTCCATCACCATCATCAGGTCTTTCCTGTTTACCGTTGAAGTTATAACGAACACCCCGGTCCACCCCTCGTTAATTTCAAACACTGTTCAGGGAGATATGTGATCAAACAGTGGAGGGTCTTGTTGATTAACTTGCGGGGTTTTCAGGGGGTGTTTGAGGGGTTAATTTGAGCCATCAAAGTGAAAATTTTGGAAATTCGGTGGATTTGAGGGAGGGAGGGAGGGAGGGGTAGGTGACAGAAAAAAATTGACATTTCAAATACAGTTTAATATTGAATGAATAAATTCAGTAGCGAAGCGGTAAACCGGGTTAAGTCGATTTTGACTACTGGCTAGTTTTTGACGAATATCTCGGAATCTAAAAGCGATAGAAAATTTTTTGTCATGACCTTTTTATAGCTCTTAATCGGTTCTACAAAAAAGGTCATGAGAAAAATTTTGCTATCTCTCTTAGGTTCTGAGATATTCATCAAAAACTGATCAAAAGTCAAAATCGACTTAACTCGGTTTACCGCTTCACTACTGAATTAAATAAAATAGTTAAATAATAGCAAATTAAATTAAATAATTGAAATTTCGTGGACAGGCGAAAAATTTTGAAATTTCAGGTTTCGCTGAAAATTCAATGCAATTCCAAAATTTTGAGTGGCTTTAAGACCATAATTACTCGACGTATTTGAATTTTCAACGAAAACATGAATATTTAGTGCTAAATTATACCGAATTAGCAATTAATTGAAAATTTACAGTTCAATCTGATTTTCCCGTGAAATTCTGAATTTTCAATGGCGAAATGACTTGCAATTTCAGTGGAAGTAACGTGTGATAAAAATTTCCAAAATGTGTACTGGAAATTTCGAATGGAGCTGGTGCAGAGCGGAAATGCTTGTCAAGTTTACGAGGTGGTGTTTAAGTTCGTGGAAAAAAAAACTAACTAGAGAGTGTTGGAACTTTGCTGCGGGATTAACCAGTATTTCTGATCGCACGTGGGGAACTTTCGATACTTCAGAAGAGTTTGAACCCAGAAGTTGAAACAAGATCGAGATGTTTAGTTCGGTTGGAACGAATTTCAGGGAAAACAAGTGGAACGTATCAATCAATTGTTTTTTCTTGTTATTTTGTTGTAATCAACGCTGCAACTTCATCACAGGGGTAACGCGTGTCTTAATTTAAGGTGGCAGACACGTCAACTGCTCGCATGTAGCACGTCCCTCACTTTTTCATTTTTTCCATATTAACTTCCTTACGTCACTCGACATAAAGAATTAGCATTTAGAGTGAAATGCGAAGGCAGGCGAAATATATGGTGATAAAATGCAGTTCGAGTCTTGACATCGATTGAATATCAATATCCAGTTGCAACGGGAACAAATCCAACGGAACAAATTGCCCCGCCTGCCCTCTTCGTCGCTCCTGCGCCCGAAGTGCGCATCATCCAGACTAATTCACCGCCGTAATAACATCCCACTGGAATGAGGATAGTGCCGGGCAGGTTTGATTGACCAAATCACTGGGCTGAGAAGCGGACCAGTGGTTTTGGAGCAGTGGGCAGTGACACCAGTCGCGCGCGATGCATTTTTATTCACGAGAGAATGAAAAGTCCAGCTGCATTTTGCAATGGACAATGGTGAAACGGTGGAGCGACCCGGTGACGCCCAAATCGTCACCAAAGAGCAGTGCAGCAAACGTTGCCAACTATTCCAGGCCTCGCTCGAAGCCACATTTTTACTCCGACTCCGGACGCCTGATACCCCTGGACGTGAGAAAATAAAATAATAAAACCCTGTGCGAGTGCGAGATAGCCTGATTTACAGCACAAATGTCCAGGGGTTATCCCACTCCCACTTTAGTTTCAAGGAAATTCGGTGATTTATCGCCAGCAGTGACTCCGAAGTACATGCGCAGCCAGTTTTATGATTTGAATAAAGAAGTTTTCTCTAATTCTGGAGAGCCGCGGCCATTAGCGTAATGGGGTGGTGATGGTGCGTGTCAAAATGTTTAATTATCGGTTATTAATTAGTAATTATTTTATGTTGAAATGCATTTCAAGGAGACGAAGTGAATGTCTGCATTGAGACATTTAAAGTCATTTTTGTGGCTTCAATTGAATTAAATTAAATTAATGGAAAAGAGATCATTTTAATTAATTAAAATCTCATATTTTAATTAATTAAAATCATCTCTTCTCGAAGACGGTAGTTTTACCAGCGATGCAGATAATAAAAATTAATTCTGCAATTTTTTAAATTAAAAATCCGGTAAATTTTAGTTAAATGAAGATTTTTTCCGTTCGTCCGCCAGTGGTTAAACCCCCTATGCAGTCAGCCATTTCGATTTACCTCAGTTTGTCCAATTCATTTCATTCATAATTTTCCCACCGCTTATTTAGCGCCGCAATTTGTTCCCCTCACCGCCACTCGCATTGTCCATCGAAAAAGTTATTGAATGAGAGTTGAATGCAGAACGGTTATCGGTTATTAATTGGTAATTATTTAAGTAGCTGAAATGCATTTGAAGGAAACGAAATGTCTGCGAATGTCTGCGTTGAGAGATAATTCTGCTAATTTACGGCGTTTAACGCCTTCTTAAAGCAATTTTGGTGTCTTAAATTAAGTTAAAATAAATTAAATTAGAAGAGATAATTTTAATTAATTAAAATCTCATATTTTAATTAATTAAAATCATCTCTTCTCGAAGACGGTAGTTTTACCAGCGATGCAGATAATAAAAATTAATTCTGCAATTTTTTAAATTAAAAATCCGGTAAATTTTAGTTAAATGAAGATTTTTTCCGTTCGTCCGCCAGTGGTTAAACCCCCTATGCAGTCAGCCATTTCGATTTACCTCAGTTTGTCCAATTCATTTCATTCATAATTTTCCCACCGCTTATTTAGCGCCGCAATTTGTTCCCCTCACCGCCACTCGCATTGTCCATCGAAAAAGTTATTGAATGAGAGTTGAATGCAGAACGGTTATCGGTTATTAATTGGTAATTATTTAAGTAGCTGAAATGCATTTGAAGGAAACGAAATGTCTGCGAATGTCTGCGTTGAGAGATAATTCTGCTAATTTACGGCGTTTAACGCCTTCTTAAAGCAATTTTGGTGTCTTAAATTAAGTTAAAATAAATTAAATTAGAAGAGATAATTTTAATTAATTAAAATCTCTTATTTTGATTAATTAAAATGATCTCTTCTCGAAGACGGCAGTTTTACCAGCGATGCAGATAATAAAAATTAATTCTGCAATTTTTTAAATTAAAAATCCGGTAAATTTTAGTTGAATGAAGATTTTTTTCCGTTCGTCCGCCAGTGGTTAAACCCCCTATGCAGTCAGCCATTTCGATTTACCTCAGTTTGCCCAATTCATTTCATTCATAATGTTCCCACCGCTTATTTAGCGCCGCAATTTGTTCCCCTCACCGCCACTCGCATTGTCCATCGAAAAAGTTATTGAATGAGAGTTGAATGCAGAACGGTTATCGGTTATTAATTGGTAATTATTTAAGTAGCTGAAATGCATTTGAAGGAAACGAAATGTCTGCGAATGTCTGCGTTGAGAGATAATTCTGCTAATTTACGGCGTTTAACCCCTTCTTAAAGCAATTTTGGTGTCTTAAATTAAGTTAAAATAAATTAAATTAGAAGAGATAATTTTAATTAATTAAAATCTCATATTTTAATTAATTAAAATCATCTCTTCTCGAAGACGGTAGTTTTACCAGCGATGCAGATAATAAAAATTAATTCTGCAATTTTTTAAATTAAAAATCCGGTAAATTTTAGTTAAATGAAGATTTTTTCCGTTCGTCCGCCAGTGGTTAAACCCCATATGTAGTCAGTCATTTCGATTTACCTCAGTTTGTCCAATTCATTTCATTCATAATTTTCCCACCGCTTATTCAGCGCCGCAATTTGTTCCCCTCACCGCCACTCGCATTGTCCATCGAAAAAGTTATTGAATGAGAGTTGAATGCAGAACGAAGTGCGAAATAAGCTGGAGAAAAATTGAATGGGATCAAAATGCGCCTGGAGTATTCTCCTTTAGTTATAACAAGGTACTCCTCTCTTTTCGATTTTTCCCCCCAGAAAATAGAAACTTCATATTCCTTTCTTATTCGCTGGTGTCAATCGTGCGTGCTCTTCCGTCCCGCTTGGCATCCGCTGTATTTCTGCACTGCGGAGAGCTTCCGGGGTAGTATCCATACACCCCCTGCCCTCGCACTATCATCGCGTGCCCATGAGACTCCCACTGATGTTGCGTTTTCTCTCGACTCGCTTTTTTATTTTCCAGTTTTTTCCCTTCAGTTTAACCAGCTAGTTTTTTCACTGTTCTCGCTGATTGTGGTCGCACTTTTTCTTCCGCTCAACCCCCACCTCACCCCTCGGGCAAACTCGGTCGTTTAGCTCGAGCAAAAATAGAATGAGAAAATATAAATAAGAGAATGAAACACGAAGCGCTCTATTGAATGCGCCGTTTCTTTCATTTTCATTTTGATTGCATTTTTCATTTTTATTTCACTCAGACACACGATCAGTAACAGGACTGATTAAATAAACATAAAGTATAATAATGAAAAAGTTAAAAAAAGTATTATTTATACTTTTGCTTTTTGTTTTTTTTCTGTTTTTATTTTCATTAAATTTTAATTACATCATTGTTGCTCTCGGTGGGTTTTCGCTGCTGTTCATTTTGTCATTCATTTATTCACTTGCGCATTATATTATTTATTATTATTTTCGTGTCAGGAGATGAGAAAATGATAAAAAATTCAAAAAGCCTCAATAATTGTTATTCTTCGACTAATACCGCCAGTCACTTCTAAAATAAACTAATAAATTAATCATAAACTACGTGAACTTGTCACCGACGAAATTCTCGCAGTCGCGCAATCCGAGAAAATGCAGTGCTGAGAGAATTGAATAATTAATGCCGAGTAAATTAATGCAATTTACCCCACCCCAGCAGACAAATGCAAACACGTACACGAGCATTACGATGAACAGTATAATGTCATGAAAAGGTTTAACGTCTCGTCTCACCTGAATAACACGTGATTTATTGAGCACAGTGTTTCCGGCTGGCTGGAAGCGCTCCATGTCTCTCAGTATTCCCCTGACTCCAATGTCGTCAGCGTCGACTAATCGAAAGGCAGTGATGTTGACAAAATTGTACTTGAAATCCTCGAGATCGAACGTTTCAATATCCTGGGAGCAGAACGAATAAATTGGAATTCAATGGGTTTTTCAACAATACCCTACGGTTGTGTCATTTATTTCCACTTAGGATTGTCAACTCTCCCGCCGGTACTTACAAAAGTTGTGAAGAGGTAGTGGTACTTGTAATCGTTCATTTGCATTTGAATTATCTGAAATGCACAATGAAAAAAAATTCAATGGGGCAACAATCTTGATTTATAGGAAATTTAAGAATATCCAAGTACTTTGGCCATTTTTTCTCCAGCGAAATGCTTTTCTACTCTCGTAGTCGAACATAAGAGCTTTTATTTGAGCCACATTTCACCCCAAGTTTCCGGGCGACTTACAATGATTTTATTATTTAAACTTTGCAGGTCTGAATTTGAATCTCAATATTGAACCGTTAGAAAACATATTAAAAATCTGAAAAAAAATTAGAAAGTTTACTTTTGGAGGAAGGTTGATGAAATCATTTAAGAAATGGAATTTTTGAAAATTAGGAGCATTTTGTATAAATAATTCATAAGTAAACAATTCGTCTCTGTATTATAAAAACCCAAATTGATAAAAATTTGGTACTCGAAATTAAGACTTTAAAATTAAGAGTCACAAAGGTCAAAATCAGGGTCATGAGGCTCAGAATAAAGGTCGCAAGGGTCAAATCAGTGCCATGAGGTTCCAAATAAGGGTAGCAAGGGTCGGAATAGCATTATAAGGGTCAGTATAAGCGTCACGAGGGTCAGAATAAGGCTAATGGGGTTTTAAAACAATAAGGTTTCTGAAAAAAGAAATGCCCTCAAAAAAATGCACTAAAGTCTTAATCCCAGACTCTACTTTTCCCACTGTAATTAAAGATAATACAATTAACAAACCATTCGTAAAAAATGCTGCATGTGTTCAGGTTTAGTGTCAACAATAAAATTTCTAATCTCTTTACTCTTGATATCACTCAGAACTCGTCCGTATGAATCAGGATCTGCTTGTCTCAGGTGTACCTCAAGGTCCGGCGACTTGGGTGTTTTCACCAAGTCCCTGAGCTTCAGCAGACCTGTAACCGTAAAAAACGAGGCTGAAATAAAAAAACGTAATAAAGAGAGGGGGCAGTTTACCTTCGGCCCGTGCCTCTCGCTTACACCGTGGGGTCGTGAAAAAAAAAAAGGTTTTATGGTCGTATTTCGCCTCGTACAACAGTGGATACAGGGGGAATGTAGTGTGGGGTGGAAGGATCGTTAAATGGAAAAGGAAACCTGTGAACGACACCGATGAAATCGATACTACGTGGGTGGGTGACTGAGTAATCAAGGTATCATCTCGACTTGTGGGTCTTCCACTCTTCGATCTCTCGACTTCAACTCTTCGCAGACGTCTCTTCCGGCGTGACCCCTTGGCCCACGAGCCAATGGGGGAGGAGAGACCTCGGAGGGATTCACGACAACGATTTCGCTGTTTCCGACATCGGCGTGAAGGCAAAGGTGGACAATACCCAACTGCTTCATTGCTTTTTTGGACTCTGGTGTGATCGAAATCCGCCGAAGTGATAGTCTCCAGTGGCACTTCTGGAGGTACTGTTAATCGGTGTCCACCGGAGTTGCCCGACGGGGAATTGCAGCGCCGGTGGATTTAAGTTTTGTGAAAGTTCGATTACTGCGGGGGGAGGGGGTGGGATATTGTCTTGGGAGCAACAGCGTTGGTCTCATATTCTAATGGTGGGGGGAGAGAGAAGGAGATTGGATCACCAGAATAAGTTGTTTAGAATTTTTCTGAAGAATTTCAAAGAATTTCGTAATTGAAAATTCATAATTTCATGAAAAAATCAGTGAGAACTGTAAATTTTAGTTCAATGATTCCCCGAAAATGAGTAGAAATAAATTAATTGAAAATTGAAGGGAATTCGCCTTAAAAAAATTCAAGATTTCATTGAAAATTCGAATAGCTTAACGAATGTTCATTTCAATGCGGTTAAAAAATCAGGAATTTCATGATTTTTTCCCTTTAAAAATCATTTAACGTCACTCTCCTAAAAATAAATAATCAACTGTTCCTGAAATTTCAATTTTATTCCACCAACTCCATCTCCTCACACAAAAATAGCAATTTCTTCAGCCACTAAATTCCCCCCTCACGTTAAACTATTCGCGTTCACCTCGAGCTGCTAAATTCGACTCAAAAATTAGTTCTGTGAAAATACGTTGTTTTGTCTGTCAGCGTAAAGCGCGAAAATCCCCCAAAGACCGCTGAAATGAATAGATCGTAACCAACTCACTGGCAATGAGACGTAAAGCCCATATCCACTGCAATCCAGTAATTGGTAATTAGAGGATTGCCGTTAGTTTCCACTCCCGCATCGATTTATAAGCTCATGTATTTGTCAGTCTCCCAAAGTACACACTAATTCCGCCAATCGATGCATCATCGCGCCAGTTTTCCAGCTCATTGCCGCGTGCGCCGCTCTATTCGTCAATTTTCAGATACACAATGTGACACTCAGCATCGACAACTTGCACTCCATTGAAATGAATAGACGAGAAATAATAAAAGCCCTCCCCCTCCCGCCGAGTTTGATGTATCGTCCAATTATATTTCTCCGTGCTATCGACATTCATCGGTCGCAAGGAGGAATTTAAAAAAGTGAAGGAAGCGCTGTCGAATCGGGCAACAGAGGGACGATAAATAAAAATAAACGCATCGGGAAAATCCGATAAATCCAGCTGTGTCAGGATTCCTGTGCTAAGGAGGACGTACGATATAATTGGCTGAATCGTCTGTTTGCTCCGTAGAAACGAGGACGGCGGATAGAATAAGGAGGTGAAAAAAAATACTAAAGTCGGTCGCGCACAGCCCGGAAGGTGGATAATTTCTCTGGGGACATTTTCTGGTGGCAAATGTCGAGGGGAAATTCACATTCGCGGGAATTCACGTTGATGACGTATTTGTTTTGGCATTGCCGGTGACGTATTAGCTCTTTCACTCGGATTTAGAACCTTCTGGGGATTTTTTGGTCAAACGAATTAATTGCTCCGGTGTTAAAAAAAACGAAAACATAATTTATTTTTAATGGAGAGGAAAAAACAATTGTTTATATAAGTATGTATTTTTTTTAATGCATACTGACACTGTGAGGACACGGTCCGTTTTTTATTACTGAAATTTAAAGTGAAAAATGTTGAGGTTTGGAGCGAGGACTCATTCACATGAAAATTCTATATATTTTATTACTGAGAAATTAGTGAAATTCTGGAGTTTTCGATGAAGTATTTGACTTTAAATTGAATTAAATTGAATTAAAATGAACGAATTGAGGGATCAAGTTCAGCTACTGCTAAAAAAAGTATAAACGGACATTTTTGTGAAATTATTTCTGAAATTTCAAGTGAAATTTTTTAAAATGAATATCAATCACTTTAAAATTCAATAAAATTAACATTTTCAGGGCCACATAACAACGAAAATTGTTGGAAATAAAAAAAAATTCAACTATTCATCTGAATTTTTGAATCAATTGAAAATTCACTTGAACATAATATTTAATTTCCCCCATACATGAACTATTAACTCTAAAACTGAATTAAAATCCACAACTCCATCCATCGCCTAAATTTCAAAGAATTTCCAGCAGTTCAGCCCCCAGAGTTGAAGAGTTGTTCCGCTGGAATCGTCGACAATGAACGATAATGGCGGATGGAAAAACTCATTGGTAATTCCTGGGGCATAAGTACGACATATAAAAAGATGTAGGAGATGGTCCTGGGGTCATGTGACCGAGGGAAAAAGCCCCATAAAGACGGCAATTCTAGGACTCGGGTATCGGCCACACGTTCCCGCCGAAGAATTCGGCAGTAATATCGACGGGCCCTCTTCGCTCCACCACAATAACTGAATATCAGTCGTGCGTGGGGCAACTGCGGGGGCTGACAAAGTTTATCATTGTGTGCGAGGAAAACTGCTCCCCAGAATGCATTATGAATTTAATTCTCTATGCGGAAAAATATATATTCTGAAAATTATATATTTTATGTATGGAATTGGCCTGATTTATATATAAAAGTTATATAAAATATAAATTTATACATGTTTCATATGTAAATATAAATATAAATAAAAAATATATATAAAACCACCGCATAAATCAAATATTTATTAATGATATGTTTGATATCGTTGTGGCGATATACAGTAGTATACATATATACCTGTAATAATAATAATAATAATAATAATAATAATAATAATAATAATAATTCTTTCCAGTAAAATATAATAATGGTTTTTGTATTTATATAAAATACATTCGAAGAATATATTAAATTGGCCTATATTATATATATTTTTTATATATTTTTCCATGGGGGTCACTCTTCTTGGCGCTGCGAACGACATACGCGTCGTGTTGGGACAGCACACGACCGGATATCGAATACAGATGCACTCGGATTATCGGCGAATTATGTCTGTATTATTTCGCGGCGGGGATTACAATATTATGAAGGGAATTGGCTTGGAAAGTGCGAGAAGCTGTCTTGGCAATCTCGCCCCGGTATTCTTCATTGAAACTGTGGGAGAGGATTTCTTTTCACTAAATCCGCAGCCGTAAGATCTTCATCCTCATGAATAATATCCGATAGGTGCCGGAGAGACAGACGCGGAATGACGGATCAGTTGAAATTGAGGAGTTTCAGATGTCATATCCCGAAAAATTATTTGTTCGAATGGAATGAATAGGTTTTATAGTGGGTAAATGTTTATTGGGAATTGATGAATTATTAATTTCATATGAATGAACCATTTTTAATAAAATTATATGATTTTATTAATTCTCACTAAAAAGATTATTAGAACGAATAAAAAAATGAAATGAAAAGTACTATTGGAGTCAAACGCGTATTTTTTTCTCTCTCGCAAAAAAATTAAGATCCTTTCCCCCCGCAAATGCTCTCAGATATTCCCATTGAAACACCGAAAAGGGATTTTTTAATGAAATCTCCAGCAATGAGACGCTCATCCTCATGAATAATATCCAATCTCGGATACTTCTTCCTACTTTCTTAAAATAAAGATCCAAATTACGTTTCTCCGAGCATCCGAATTGAAGAGATCAATCCCTGAATTATTTATGAAACAATCTCTCGCGGAGAAAAAAGAACTCGGTGAAAAAAAAGGGGGGGGGGGAGAATGACGAAAATAATTCTCCTCGCCTCCTGGGAATCGCGAAAATCGGATTTGGGTGGTGAAAATACATATGCGCCCGGCGGAGCTGCGGGTGGGAGTAAGACCTCGAGGATTCAGCAACCGAGCAAATACCCACGGGGACGCTGGTGTGCGCACATACGTGGCTGCTGGATACTCGTGAAACTTGCCGAGGGGATCAAATAAATAAATCGAATCATCCGTGCGACTACAGTGCACACAGTATCTCCTATTCTGCCGCGAGTTTTTTTTCCCCACTGTTTACAGAGGGAAGAAGGCAAACGCCATTTCGTCACACTCGACTAATAAATTTTCGAGGTTTTTACGAGAGTTAAAAAGTTGGTTTACGGCGGCACTTGTGGTGTACTTGGGGGCATGAAATTTTGGAGTAACAGGCGACAGTAAGTGGGACGAGGGAAGTTTCCGGTGACTCGTCAAGGAGACTCGATTGGAAAAAGTAATTTTCGAGGTTGAGGGGTTGTAAATAAATTGATGGGCTTTGGGAATCAGTGGAATTAGGGGATTTCAGAGTCATCAGGGAAATTCGGTGAATGACTTCAGAATCTTTCGTTTTAAAATTATGATTTTTCATTTTTTTTTGCATTTGTTCTTCCAAATGCAATAAAGTAAAAAATTAAGCGGAAAAATTGAAATGAAAAATAAAATAAATTGCTCAGCCGAAAAACGATATGTTCCGCGTGAGAATATTTGAGGGAAATTAATCAACTTGATAGAAGGAAATTTAATATCTCAATTCAATTTTTGCGAAAGAAATAAAAAAAATAAAAAATATAGAAAAAAAACTTTTAAATTATTTTTTTTTCTCGGGTTTCATTAATTATTTCTCAATGATCGAACGCAGTGTGAAAAAATCCAATTGTCATTACATCTTCCTTAATGAAGTGACTCTCCTCGAAAAGCAGAATTAAGAAACCCCGAAAGATCGCCTTCACGTCCACCAAAAAGAGGATTCAACTGCGGCGACAAAAAGCCAGGGGAGAAAGAACAGAGAGATTCCAGTAGATCGTGTCGGGACTGGAGAACAAGTCGGACAAGTCTCGGTTGGTGTACGCAGGATATCCCCAGTAGGAAGGACCTCGTGAACCGAGAAATACGCGATTCGCACTGGAGACCTCGTAAATTTAGAACGATGGAAGGGTGGAGTGGAGGCAGTTCCGCGGTTGGGCGGACGTTTTAATCGACATGTACGTGATTCCCTTCGTGCCCTCTTAGGATGGAAATTCACTTCCGAAATGAAACTATCAACTGAAGAGGATCTTCCGATATTTTTCCAAAAACTCCAGCGAAACTTTAATTAAACTTTACTCCAATGGAAATGAAAAAACGAAGTAAAAGATGAATAAAATGATAAACGAAAAAATTCATTCATTCATTTATTCATTTATTTGCTTAAACATGTCGAAATTAATTATAATAAATAAAATTATAATAAACAATAAATAAATATATAAAATAAATAAAACTAATGTTTAATTTTGTTTATTCACTAGGCAAAATAAAATAAAATAACTGAATTTGAGAACAAAATCCCTTATGACGAACAAATAAATCATTCCCTCGGCATTAAATCCTTCGAAAATTATTGATTTAAAGCGAGAAACCCCAGTACATTAATAACAACCCCCAATAAATGCCATTTAACTCTGAGAAAATATCTCCAACAATTTATCACCCATCGAAAGTCATCAATCAATCCGTAATAACAGTAATCTGAGTCCATAAATAAGTCCAAGCTCCTCGGGTATCTAACGACAGTTCCAGTCTCGTGAAAACTTAACGAGCTACGTATATACATCACCATCCCTTTCACCCACAGAAAAGCTTCCGCCGAGTCTTTGCAAGTGACGTTGATGAAAAATAGATCCCTCTATTCTATTCTCCTGCTCCCGCATCCAAAGAAAATCTGTTGAAACTTTTACTAAAAATGCATAGGAAAGTATTGATGTCATTACCGCGGAGATTATTTTGTCGTTCCCGTAATACCAGTTGAGAATAATTTCCACGCATTTTTCATTTATCATGAGATTACAGGGGAAATCGTCATGAATAAGTACAGGAGGATAATTTTTCCATTTATAGATGTATTTTTTACGCTCCTCAAAAAATAAATTCTCCTCCCAAGAAAATAATTCCTCGGCAAAAGTAATTTTTTCCCCAGTGTAAATAATTTGTATCCAACGTTTCTCTTTGTATGTTTAAATGAATATGCATTTCGAAGTTTGATCCATGGGATCCGAAGAAAAAGAGAATAATGAAGACACGGAGAACACGAATATCTCAACTCTCAAGTGGAGCGTCTTCATCCAGTCCCATTTCTCCCCTCTTTTTCACTCCGGCATTTATTAAAACCGCATTCCCGGGAAAACTCCGCGTTCCCCCCGACATTTTCTCGTTCCTTGGGGGAAGGGGAGGGGGTGGGGGCGAAGAAATATGGGGGAGGAGTGTCTCGAGTGCTCCCTCCCTCCGGATCAATCGATAAAATTGGAATAATATTGTTCGGGCCGCGGAGCGTGGATGGGAGTTAATCCTGCGGTGACGAAGAAACAATTAGCAAAGTGCTGGGAGTAATCGGATTTTCAGCGCGGAAATAGCGACGGAAACTCTTACGAGGAATGTTCTAATGAGTTATGTTTTGGATTGATGCGGGGGACAAGAGGAGGAGTTCAATTCGTTTTCAGGAACTTTTTTTTTTTAGAAATCGAACGATAAATTAAAAGGTGATTGTAAAAATTTGTGTCTTCGAGACTTCTTATGTGCTAATGCATGTCATAATTTCTTAATTTGAGACTCTAAAAATGACTTGAAAAAGTGGAAGAATGTGATGTCTTAACTTCAGACACTACTTCTCCTACTGTTTTTCCAAAACAGATAATTATAAATTTAGTTAGGAAGATCGACGATTATTCGGTTAATTGAAATTCCTTTTAATGAAATTTAGTATTATTTACCCAATACAAAATTGACAATTCCATGTGATCAATTATTTTATTATTTTAATCAATGTAAAGTTTAAGTTCTCGTAATATTTAAGGAACAATGATTGATGGTCGTCTCATCAATTTGTTGGGCCTTAAATATTGTCAATAAAAAAAAATAATACGAACAACAAGTTTTTTTATCAACTCACCATAATCATCTTCGTAAATAATGGCAACTTTCGTCCAATTGAGGAAAAACATAACGTCCTGATAGGCAGAATTGAGTAACGTTTGTGCGGGATGCAGATTTATGCTGAATTCTTTCGCCTCCGCGTCCAGGTCCAGCCTGACCTCCAGATGCGGTATGTCCAGCGCGTCGCAGATACTGTGAATGTGCTGACCGAGAATAGGATCTGACGGTCCAAACACAGCTTGTACGCCAAATTTGACCTGTTGACAGGCTGTAAAATAGCTGCGCATGAGTGACCACAGAACAATGAGGAATCAACGAGAGTGCCGGAAAATTAATCAATTCAAGGTGGTTATCGCCCTTAAAATTTCCCAATTGTGCCCTAATGGAGCCGTCGAACATTGCGGTTCGTGACCACGACTTTGGCTCCGGGGGAAAAAAAAATTTTTTTTTATTTCTGCATTTCTGGGGCAAGTGAGGGTCTCAGTGGCATTAGGCGGGCCAGAAAGTACAGAATCGACTTTCACTCGGTGGAAAAATTCGATTTTGGCGAAAGTCGACTTTCCCCATGGAAAAATCCAACATCTGACACTTCGGCTTTAGTGAGGGATTCACCAGCGCAATAAAACAGTATTTAATACCCATTACATCATCACAGTTTAACCCACCGCCCTTTCAACGTTAACGTGAAATCCCATTAAATTCTAGTCCCCAGAAATGCACTCGAAACTCGCCGGTAATCGTATAAATACGAAGTTGCGAGGGAGAATTATTACTGTAATAATAGAGAGTTTAGGGGGATGGAAAATGTTTTCAAGTATTCGGGTTTTGATAACTCTGATGCACACGTTGAGAGCTTCTCGCCCAGTGTACATGAAGGCGTGCACCAGGGATATTGGGTTAACTCCTTTGAGATTACACTCGAGGGGAGTCAATGGGTTGCGGGGGGTGTTGTAACGTCCGCTTCAACAGGGTTATCTCAGTGGATTGTAAGGGTCGTTAGGCCTCATTCAGCAGTATTTCATTGCACCCTGCTATGGATACTTGGCACACGGTTCTGTTTCATTGGTTTATCTGTTCATCACTGCGCGGGGAAAACAGGTTTTTGAAGTTTACAAACAAGTGGATCCATTACTGATTGCAATTCCCAGCACATTTTTCGGAAATTTTTATCACATTTTAATAACGCTGAAATTTCAAGGAATTTCATCATTGAAAATTCAGAATTTCATGGGAAATTCGATAAGAATTGTAAATTTAACTTCAATTTTTTCCTGAAAATTAGTAGAAATCAGGAAAATTCTGTAAACATGTTCTTGAATTTTTAGTTAATTGAAAATTTATCGTAATTTGGGACTGAATGTCTAGATTTTTAGTTTAAATAATTTTTTGAAAAAAAATAAAAAATAATTTCCATAGCGCAGCGATAAAACTCTTCAAAATAATCAAGTTCTTAGCGGAGTTTTCGAGAAATATCTCCGAATGTAAGGGAGATAGCGAAATTTTCATAAAAAAATTTTTTGTAGCTCTTAATGAATTCTGCAAAAAAGGTCATGAGAAAAATTTTGCTATTCGCCTTAGATCCCGAGATATTTATTGAAAACTGACCCCTAGTCACAATTAGTCTCCAGAGATTTGTACAGAATATGAAATAAAAACATTTAAAAATAATAAAAAATATATGAAACGTAAAATGCAGTATTGGGTTTAGAAATATAAATTGTATAGACTGAAATCCCTCTTATTTCTGCGCATCAAAGTCCATCGACTCCATTCACCGTCACGTATTATCGCTAGTTTCAGCCTACCGGCTCTCATGGGCATCTCTAAACAGGATAAATGTACAGTGGGATTCAACAATTCTATGTTTATCGGTATCGTAGCTAAGAGGTTAATCCCGGAAGGTGCCGTTGCCCGGATTCCGACCGATTATAGCTACGTGTGAGCACAACTCCCTCTCTCTCTCGCCCTTTCTCCACCATCTCTTCGTGTTACTCCGCCTGAATTCAAATTCATGCCGGCGAGCCGCCGGAAAAGCCTGCGTCCGATCGGGACACTCCGATAGCAGAGATATTGCGAATGTTACGTCACGTAGATCGAATGGAAATAGCTCATTAAATTTCGGTCTAGGTAAGAGATTTCGGGTTTATGCGAAACCCAAATGCAAATTTCCCTTTTTCTTGGTGAATGTATTTTTTTTGCGATTCCTTCATTTTTATTCTGTATCTGATATCGATATTCATGCAAATAAAAATATTTGAATGCCATGCAAAACAATTGATTCATTCAGAATAAAAGATGTCTTTACATTGAAAAAAAGGTCGATTTGAAGAAAATAAAACTGCAAATGAAAAATTGAGTGAATCCATTGAATTTCGATAAATCATTCCTTTTGGTACAGACCCCCACACAAAAAAAACAATAGTTCCTCAACAGCGGAGTATTATTCTCGTCAATTCTCATTTGAAATGTAAATTGCAAAATTTTTTCGATAATAATTTTTTCCCGATTTTACGACAGTCTCATATCGATTAAACCCCTTTTGTTCCTTCTATGAATTATTATAACTGCCTAGTATTACAACTGGGTGAACCACGGTCATTGTATACCAGTAGCATAAAGGGGGAATGAAGGCAATGGGGTGATAAAACGGAAAAAAACGAAGAGACTGGCGAATAAAAAACGTGAAAAAAAATAAAAGTGGTGGATAAAACAGACTGGGGGCATGGAAGCGCGCCAGCATCACAGGGAACGGTGAGAGTTGGGTTGGATTTGTTTACGGCGTCGAGACGCAAAAAACTTTTCACGGCTGATGGCGGATGTCTCGAGATAAATAGGAGAGTTAATCTCTTTAACCGCCGAATTGCGATAATCTTTGCCAAGACGTATTCCCGGTATTTTACTCGTGTCAATTGAAAATTTAACTTTTATGCTACCATTTTCTACTCCACCGCCTCTCAATTTTGACTACGTTCAACAGTAATTTTTCCAACGGACTCCATCATATTTTAATTTCGTCAGCCGTATTTTTTCATCCACCCCGTCATAGTTTTTCTCATATTCCGAATTACCACGTTCCCACACTAAAAAAATAAATTCACATTCGTTGATCCTTTGAACCGAAAGCGAGAAGGATCACCGGGCAATATTTCACCCCCGAAACATCGACAGTATTCCCAACTTGAACTAACCAGAGAGATTTGTCATAAGCCCGTGCCCCGGGAACTCCCAAAATTTGACGAGCACGAGATAAATTTGTCCCGACACGCGTCAGTTTCTCTCCCTCATTTGCGACTGGAAAAATGAGCGTCGAAAAAAGGGGGGTAAAACCCTACCTCCAGAGAAATCGATCGAACATCCTCATGATAAACGAGATAACAAGAGTGCATTGCCGTATGAGAGCCGGAGGCACTCGTTTTCGAGGGTTTCTCGAAGCTCTTAAAGGACTTTTCTTCACTTTCCACTCACTCCCTCTCCTCCTTCATCCTCGAGGGTAGCTTTTAAAGGGAATTTTACCTTTCACTTTTTCATCGAGTGGTACACGAGCAGTTTATCACTATTTTTATGGGAAATAAAATTTATAATAAACGTTTGCAGAGTTATCCCTTCCACTCGGTGAGTAATAAAACAAGAGTAAGAAGAGATGGTTTTAAATTAAATTTTTGATATCCCTCTGTATTTTTTTAAGTTAAAAAATGAGATACACATTTATCGAGAGCTCCCGCTGTGTTTCCAATCGCTCGACGGTAAAATTGCAAGCTCAGGATCCACCGCGGCAAAGTAGAATTACACCGTAACGTACCAGTGTCGGTTACGTAAAGTGTATTGCCTGAGTTTTCTATAGTTTCCCCGTACACATCCCCACATGTGCCTATATACGGGCATTCTGGTGCACACACAACCCCCTATGGTCAATAAACTTGAGAATCCATTACACGTTATCATGGATTTTTCCCAATTTTTGTTTGCTACACTGGAAAAAGTATTTCAATATGAGTTGGATCCTTCGAAGGAGGAGGACGACGATGTTTGGCAATATAAAGTCTCGGAATACTTTCGTCCCTGCGCAAGCAGAAAATGTACATTTTTTCCCTCGGCTAGTCGTTGAAAGATAAATTTATGAGGGTTGAGTCATGAGTCTTTCTCATTGGGACAATGGAGACGGAGGCCAGTGCCAACAGAATATTTTTCGGTCTTTGGAGACATCGAGCGACGTTTAGCTTCAATTCGCGGACATCAGAGCATAATTTTTCTCCAATTGGTCATCAACTTCGAAAATCAACACTAGAAACTGCTGTCTTCAAGACGTCTCAATTTCAGACAGTGGTTTTTCTAGAATAATAAACTATCTGAATCAATAATTCCCATCTCAGAATTATTGCCTTTGGACTCGGAGAAGAATCTGTCAGTTTCTGGATAATCTTCATCTCTTTTCAAATTTCTTTATCAACTTTTCTTCTGTAATCTGAGAACGTCGAACAACGTGGAGGTAGAGAAAAAGTTTCTCCTCGAATTGAGTTGCCTGAAGGATACCGGAAATAAGGCGCCTTTGGTAGAGACGACAACGACTGTTGGATGCTGCTTGGCTGGCACTCACCAGCGTCTAACTGCCGTACTATTTGCCGAGGTGAAAATGAACTTCCTTATAATCAAAAGTCTGGTGAGTTTTACAGGTACTTCCACTATTATTTCGTTCCGCCAGGAATAAGCAGATAGAAACTATCAACAATTAAAAACAGCTTTCAAGTTCTGTTGTTCGCATTTCCACAATTGAAATGAGGATAACTAGGTGATCATCAGTTCAACCCCTTCATTTTAATTGAAATTTCCCTTGAAAAACGAATATTCGCCGCATTTTTTCCTCTTCTCGCTCTATTGATTCACTTCATGAAGCATTCATCACGAAAATGAGGACTCTTGATCAATCACAAGGCCAGCAAGTGGGCTTAAATTAGTCAATAAAGTTAGTACGACATCTGAAACTGGTTAAAACGCCCCTTTCCTCCATTGAATCCTTTGATGCTCATGACTGGAGTGAAACGCCCCTCCACAACAACACTCGCCCGGTGTTCGTTCAATCAAACTAATTGGCCGTTAAATCTCTGGTCTCCGGACTGAATCAAATTACGCGGAGTTTCACTTGGCATTGAACTCACGTTTCATGAGGCCCACGATAAAAAAATAACCCCAGTCCAGAATGGAAGACTCCATCTGGCTGATGAGGTCTCTTTAAGGTCCTGGCGAGGCAATCCTTGAAGTCCAGTAGGATCCAATGATGTCTACCTCAAGAGCACCTCAAATTTAGCTTTACAGATCGTTCAGGTGTGACCGTTTCAAGTCAGTTCAGCTGACGGGACACTTCCCTCCTTAGGAATCTCCTAGACCCTGACCCTGATAAACCGTCTATCCAATAAAGAGCCTTTGTTGTCCAATTTAAGAATGAAGATTGCATCTTCTCACACGTTCGAGATTTTTCTCGGTCGAGTGCTTGCAGAGTTGATGGTGTCGAGGCCATTGAGAAGTGCACACTCTCGTCCTTATCATCAAAGAAATGCAACGAAAGGCATATTGGGCTGGCCGAGGGGTCGTGGGCATGCGGGCGGTTCACCAACAGTGGTAATAGCGTAAAATCTCATCAGACCACAAATCCATAGGATTTAGTGTTCGAGGGCATCCGCAGAAGACCAGAAGCAGTTATGCGCCCGTTCTTCTTGCATTTAAAGTCTTTAGTCTTCATTTCACCCAAAATTTAAAGTACATACAGCATAATCCAGGCTAATATGGAGCAGAAGTCTGAAATTCCCAACGCTGACCTAGAGCGGATGCCTCTTATCTTTCTTTTCTGCCGAGGGCCTCTCTAGCTAATAACTGCAACGGCTAAACAATAAACTCCTCGACCTAAACATAGCTTCGAAGGACGGGTCACAGCTCGTTCAAGGCGAAAAATGTTGACATCAGTCAAGAATGATTTCAATCTGATTGATTCTTCCTCGTCTCATGGGTACATTTCAATATTACCCCTAGGATGCTAAAGATTGTCTTCAACATGACAAGATTTCTTCAGCTGTACAAAGGCCCTTCCAAACTGTTTGTCCATCATCAAAAAACATTAATTTCATTCAACCAATTCCACCAATCCATTTCTTTCTACAATTGGTTTCTGAGATGCTTTCAGACCTTCGCAAGGGCTTTAATCAATACCCCAGGTGACCCCGAGAATACCAAACCCAATGAATGATGCAAGCAACTAATCTGATGGAATACATTCCGAGAATGGCGACTCCTTCAACTTGAGCTGGTAGTTTTCCGCAGGAGTGAGCACATGTTTTCAAGCATTTTAGGACAAGTTTTTCTCCGCTTATCTCTCGTCATTCCGGTGAACCTCGTTAGAAGTAATGTCGCCTATCAGCAAAGCCAAATGCCAGCCCCCCCCCCTTCCGCCGGTTTCCATTGTCGTGGGTATAGATATATCGATGCTAACTCGTTTCGAGTCTACAATTTGGGTGAATGTTCCTTACAGACTATTACACTGTGGCTTAAGCCTTCTTGGGTAGTTCCTCGTACCCTTGTGAATAACTTTCCAAGGAGTTTTGGCACACTTGTGAAACTCGGGTCCGAAAACACATGCGTCTTGTGGGTGAAGGAGGCGGGGATTCCTGTCCTCTCAGTGGGGCATTTACGTGTCTTGGAAATTTGTCACTTTTACGTTTGTTCATCAGAGTTGGAGAGTTTTGGAGGGACATGGGGCGATCCTTCAACAGGTATTGGAGGATTTTTGTACTTTCTAGCAATGCTAATTATTTTCAGAATGTACTTTATTTTTGTGGGCAAATTAGAGCCATTTTTAGGGGCTTCAATTGAGGCGTCAACCCATGCATTCTAGACATTAGGAAGAAAATTTTCTTCAACGGAAAATGTCTTGACGTTTTGATTTTTTTTTGTATTAATTTCATTTATCTCCTTCTCAACCCTTTTCAATCCTTTCCTATGACTTTTTCCATAATTAATTCATCCTCTTTTTAACTCCTTATCCTTTGCGATCATTTCGTCATAAAATTCAAACGATTCGTCAATTCAGTTAGAAAGCCAGAAAGAGAGAGAGTCAGAGAGATTGAAACACGAGAAAAAAACGAAAACGTTATTGAAGTCAAACAGAAATTGAAACAAAAGAAAAATTAAGACCTCAAGACATTTTCCGTTCCAAATTTTTTAGACCCCTCGAAAGTAGCCGATAAGACACATGTTTGTGTCTAATATCTTAAATTAAGACGTCTTTAAGACTACTTTTTCCATTGCAATGTCATTAGAAAGAATCACTAGGTAAAGTTTAACAGCTTATTCTGCTCTTCCCTTTCATCCATTTCCCCCCTCATTCTGATAATCCTTCGCTCAACTACGGATTTCACGATCAAAGGGGTATCATTTCCGATTTTTACTGGCGAAGGGAATGAAGATGAAATTACCGTAAAGATGAAGTGAAAAATCCATAAAATCCCGGACGGGCAATTTCGTTATTATCAACCGGAGAAAGTTCTCCCCCTCGCTGCACTCATTCACCGTTATTTTCTTGTTATTTTTTCGTCTTCGGTTATTGACACTGGAGCTCTGGAAAAAGGTGTCTGGCGCGTTTTCAGAGTGTCTGTAATCTTGGATTGTTGAATAACCCGGCATGATATAGAGCCACTGAGGTGAGAATTGCGAGCCGAGGGCTGGAGTATTACCTGGCTGGTTACCCGCTATACCGATAAATTTCTCTGGCTCTTAGTGGGCTCGCCAGCCCTACGCCCTCGCAATACTCGAGGAGATCCGGATTATAACGAATTGCGAGGCAAGACATTTGTGTTTAGTGAGAAGAGTTATTGTAATCGTTAAAGAAATACCCAAGTTTTCAGGTAGATTCATCTGGATCACCGCATTATTACGTGAACTATTCTTCCACTCATTCCGAATACATTTTTTCGTAACAAAAAGACCAATGGAAATCGCTGCGTTGTATGACATTTTTTGCTTGCGGTGCAAACCGGTACCTGGGGGAAGTTCACTGTTGAAAAGTTTTAAAAATACTCGTACCAAGTACATTGTGTCCTTGGGTGAAGTACCACATCTGCCGATCGAGGGTACAAGTACTTCTTCTACTGATCAAAAATAATTGTTTTCTGTTAATAATTTTCAGAAATAGTTTCCACTCACCTTTTTTGGACGCGTGAAACGAGTCATCTTTGGGCACGTACTGAATGTCGTAAACCAAATTTGTCTTTGGCAGTATGACCTTGTCCTTGTTGATCTTGTAAACGGCATACTTGAAGGCCAGCTCTGTGCTGCTATCCTTTTGGTCATGAGTGAATATGGCACCTGGAAGCAAGGTAAATTTTCAACGGCAAATACTCGATGAACAAGTCTCTCGTTTTCCCCGATAATGCTAAAGCCCTCGCTGTTGAATGGATTGCTGTGACAAAGAGCACTCAGGATGGAATTACGAGGAGATGGAGTATCTCTTGCGGTTGTTCAACAGTGTCAAGTGCACACCGGACATTTACTAATTGCTGACGGTTGCGGTCAATGCTGCAGAACTTCGAGAGGCTACAATATCAATTATCCGCGGATTTCCGCAATTCAACTTTGTCGCTGGGTTTGGGGATGAAAAACTTGGAGTCAGGGGTGTCCGGAGTGTTTTGGACGCGCTGGGCAGAGGGAGATGACAGGACGTCTCATTCATAATGAATATTTCAATCTGAAGTTGCTCGGAGGGTATTTATCTACTCCCGACATTTTTCGAAGCACATGTGGGTGACACACAGCCTTGAGCCGATGGCTCATTCATAGCTGTCCGGCCTAGAAAAACCGACTCAGGAGTCTGCTGTATTTTTAGTGATTCTTTCAGAGAATTTGAAAGGTTGAGAACAATCTCAAAAGGAAGGAAACAGTTTTGTTTCCGAAATTCGGGTGATAGATGAGACAGACTCCAACAAGTTTTGGGTGTTCACCAGCCTCATCCCTTGATACTTCGTGATACTTCGGGGCTATCACGGGTGCCATTTGGCCGAGAGTCTTGGACTATCCCCCGGAGGATCCAGAAGGCGGAGGAGGGGTTTATCCAGCGGATTTGGGGGTCGTTGAGATTAATCACGCTAATGCCTCGTAAACAGCGTTGTAACCAACATGTCATGGGCGCCCAGCGGGACACCAATGGTCCGCTGTACGTAGGAGCTAGCGTCGTAAATCCTGAATAATTTTTGGTCAAAAATTCATTTGCAGTGGTTTAAAGGTTATTGTTGAATTTGGTTTATCGGGGGTTTGATATTAAAATGCGGGGTTTAAGGGGTTTAATTTAGTGGGATGGTTAATGCGAGTTTCGGAGAATTTTATGAGTGACTTAAATCTTTTTTAAAGCGATAGATTTGAAGAATTGATGAATTTTGGTGTTTTGAAATGGAATAATTCATTAGGATTTTTTGGTGGAGAAGTTGATTACCATTGAGGCTTTCTTAATTAATTAATTGATTAAAAAACCTTCAATTAATTTTTTCCTGTCAACGAATTGATAAATTCTGTGAAATTCCATTAATTAATTATCGGAAATAAAATCATCAAATAGAAATAAAAATATGAAATAGAATTTCATAGAATTTATTAATTAATCGAGGAATCCTGAATACAAATTTCAAAAAATCCTCATCCCCAATTAAATTCACCAACAGCTCCCGACAAATCCACCAAAATAATAACATTCCCCCCAAAAACCGAGAAATTATCACTCGACGCGATATTTTCCTCCGAAATTTCCTGCCGTAATGGATTTTAAAATCGTCGAGGATAACGAGACAGTTGGCTGGCGGCAGTGAACATATCTACCCTCTTGAATACTTGACTGTTCGAAGTAGTAACGACTAACTTCATTCGTCTTGCGGACTACCTCGTCGTCGCAGCATGAATCCTGAAGAAAATTTTCTTTGCACTCGAGCCAAGAAGTGGAAAAGAAATTCGCTTTTCATTCGCCCCCCACCTCACTTTCTGTCTCTCTGGTCTTTCATCTTCCCTCTCTGTTTTCCACTGGGTATCGTGCCCCACTGCATTCATTCTCGCTGCAGTTATTTCACTCTCGTCACGTTTTTTTTGCCTCCAGTCTGGGCTACGGCGTTTACTTTATGCAGAACACTCGGCAAATCGAGTATTGAGTGTTGAAGGAGGGAGTGAGGGACTTCTGGGGACAAATCTCAATGAATTTATGGAAATATTGGTTTTACTGGGACCGTTCGGGGATCGATTATCACAATTTTAGAACTTCTTTTTGTTTTTTAGTAAGTTTTATTCATTTTTTGTCGTGATATCAATCCGAAAAATTAAAAAAATGCAAAATTATTCGGTTTTTGCCGAAATAAAAATGATATAGTGTTTCTCCTCTTGTCCACATTTCTACTTGATTTTTAAAAATGAGAACGAGTGCATAGGACAATGAATAATATATTTGGCAGTATCTCCGGGCGAATTAAACTGCTCAGTTCCTTCGTTTTCCCTTCTCCTGGAAGATTCGGTAGTTTCTGTCACCCGAGTTTCATTTTCCTTCGGGGGTTGCAGAGACGAACGAACTCTGCTGAGGCAGTGACTCCCCGAATTCAGGAAAGATGCTGAGGCAATGGATGGCATGTAATTGGAAAACTTATTTCAAGTCTCGGTGGAAATCAAAATGCGTGAGATGAAGTGATTCAATAATTAATTCAGGGAAGTGAGTGTTATAGATTATTTTGAGGGCTACGATGATTTATAAGAGGAGAATTTAATAGAATAGAAATTGAAAATTGTGGATTTTTACAATATATTATTTTTCACTAAATTTTCAAAATTAAATTGCAATAAATATTCAGTTCACAATTTAATCATCAAAATAAACGAGAAATATCGGGGAATGAACAACACTCAATAACGAAATAAACTGACAAATTCAGCAATCATGGAAATTTAGTCAACCCAAATTGCTTGAAAATTGATCCGACCGGTTTCGTAATAAGAAACAATAAATTCCGAACGAAGTAATCCACTAATTAACAAGAGATTTGGGTCATGCAAATTGTCGCCGAATAATCGGAATTTATCAGTGGCCCCAGTGGACTCGTTCAAACACGGAAACAGTGGAATGAGAAATTAGGAAAAGTCTGGCATTCATGAATAATAATAAATCAATTACGTGGTTTTAATAAACTTGGTTTCGGCTGCATGGGCGTTGCGTTATTAGCGGCTTCCTCCCGCGGAAAAGACCGCATTTACATAGAGCAAAATGGGGAGGAGAGAGTCAATGGCAACTTTCTTTCTGAATGTAGTTGACGCAACGACTAGCCGAGAACTTCTTGGAATATTCTTGGAAGGGAGAAAAGTGTATTTCATTCATGGGCACATGCCCAGAGGTGTGAAAAATAGTATCGCAGGGTCAGAGTTGAGACTCGGGGTGGAAAATTCAGTATTCCAATGTGAATTGTTAATCCGGTGAATTATTCAAGCTCAAGTTGGCATTCGGAACTTTCAGATGCGCCGAGAGAAAATTTAACGTCGAAAATAGGACTTTATGATTCATTACTTGAGGGGATTTCTTAAAAAAAAATTGCGTGGAAGTTCGGTATTTTTTGTTTTATTTGGTGTGTGAGGGAATGAAATGATGGAGTTTCTTCGGCTAAGAAATTGCAGTGATCAAACACCGAAGGGTAAATAAATTTTCCCGAGAAGTTGGTCCCGTCACTCCTCCAAGAATCTTAAACACAAACTTTGAATAAAATGTATGACTCCTTAATGCAGAATTCTCGGGTGTACATCGAGCCGCCGGAGTAGCTCGAAGTATTCTCGATTTTCAACGTACTTCACATGGAAATCGATACGAACTACCTGACTAGAATGAAAGGCACTTCGAGGAGAGCTTATACATGTTAGATTCTCAAGATATCACCTGTCTCGCGCAGACGCATCTCTGTATCGTGGGGAGTGAGGAAGGCAGAGTTAAGAGTGTTTCATTCGAGAATACATTGAGGGAAAAAATAGCTTTGCCGGACTGTTGGGAATTTTTTGAAATTTCGGGGAAAATTTGAGAGCAATTCTCATGAGAGTGACATTGAAACAGATTTAGGGGGAAAATGGTTATGAAATTTCAAGTTTTAGGTAAAATTCACGGAACATGAAGATTGAGAAACAAAATTACATGAATTTTAAATTTTTCCCGAATTTTTCAGATTTTTTTTTAATTTTCACGGAATAATTTAACTGAAAAATTAAGTATTTTATTGATTTTCAAATCACTTGAACCGAAAATTGATGGAATATTTGATTTTTCAATGTCAGAATTTCCTGAAATTTCAGTGGAAATTAAATACGACAAAAATTTCCGGGATTTGGCACAATTTCATCACAAAAATTGAATTTTCGTTGTGATTACCCCAAAAAAATTGTCCCCTTGAAATTATTTAGTTTTGCCAATCGTCTTATCATTTTATTATTCAGGAAAAAATAATTTTTCGGCAGAACAACGGAAATGATCAGTTGTTCCAAAAAAAAAAAAATTTCTAGCTGAAATTCTCGAATTCAAAAATAACAATTTGCTGCGCGCCATGCAGATCAACTGTCTAACGAGGGGCGATTGAAAAAAAAATGAAAAATGATACACAACTTGAACGTTTCGAGTTTCCCCAGAATTGAATTGCATATCTCGACGTTGGAGTGCGGAATTGCACCCAGCGGAGGAAGAGTGGAGGGAGAAGGGGTAACTGAAATGTGCGACGTGCCGTGTCAGGGTCGTAAATCAGGTTGTACGGTGGTTATACAGGGACAGGAACGAGCGAGAGGGACAGGAAGCAGGGAGAAATGATTCCGTCAATATCGCAGCTCTTCACCTAACTCAATTCACGCAACCCTAATTCGATCTGATAAAGAGGCCGTACATCTAGCTGTAAGTTTAGTGCCAAATGGTTTCTGGGTCGCACTCCCCCAACTGCATCTGCCTGTATATCGGGCATTACTGATAAGCCCCGGGGCAACGTTTCGTTTCATTTTATTTTATTTTAAAGTGGCTTTCGGTGACTTTTGGGGTGAACTCGTTTCTTTATGGTTTTGTCATTCTTTTTCATGTCATTCGATGAAATTTGACTGAACATTTATCTACCCATCACCCAATTTATATATTTTATTAGCGTTTTGTGGTTTCAGTTTTATTTTATTTTGTTTTCGCTCATGACCCTTAATTTCAACTACCAAATTTTTATCACAAAAAATCAATTTAAATTTTCATAATATCGAGAGATGAGATGTTCACGATGAATTTCAACATGAGAATTTATTATTCATGAACAGCCAAGCATTTATAGTCACAGCAACTG